TAGTAGTAGTGGTAGTAGCAGAAGAAGTACCGGTGATACTCGTAGTACTAGTAGTATACTCTATACAACTTTGCTTTCGGCCTGAAAACTAGTAACTATGTAGAGTACTCGAACCTAACCCCAAACTCTACCCAAGGCCTTGGGCGAACGAGGGCGATTATTCAAAACGGATGTTGAGATCGATTCCTGGGATAAAGCCAGTTGGATGATGTCGTTATTTCATACTTTCGAAAACGGGATGGCACTTGCACACCGGTTGATTTCGGGCTGGTTCGTCAGTGACAGTCACGGTCTTCGAATTACTCGGGGCGTTATGTGCTAACACTACGGGATTTGAGGCTTGCTATCGTGTGCCCGCTTGCCCGTGTCAGCAGCGGGCGGCCCGTCTCTTCGGGTTGAACAGTACTTCACAGCAACACTCCGTTCTCTCATGTTCGCTCTCTCTTCTTCCACACAGTCAAAGGAAGGGCAGTGCACCCCCCCTCGCACGCGAACGCGCCCTGGTTCCCGAAGTCTCTGTGTGTTCGCTCTCTCTCTCTCTCTCTCTCTCTCTCTCTCTCGCGCTCCCTTTCTCTAGGACCTGTCACAGACCCCACTCGAGTCGGAGCCCCCCATGCTCGGGGTCCATTGCTTGCTTGCTTGCTTGCTTGCCCCTGCCACGCAGCACCTGGCCCGAGGGCCTCCCTCTGCGGTCCGCGTCTGACAAGTCTGTGCGGCCTTTTCCTCTCTTAAACTCATCGCGGGAAAGAAATTCCGCAGTCGAACTGCTGACCTGAGGCATGCACCCAACTGGCCGGAAACGAAATCGTTGAACCAGATCCTTGTATGCACTCCAAGAGCTGCTGGAGTTGCAAATAGCTGTGTTTTTTTAGCATACCCGTGCATCATTCGAAAACTACATCCTGCTCGAGGCTTGTGCTATACTCTGTTACATGTCCAATGCAAACAAAGCCCAGAAATCCCTGAAACCCGAAAGAATGCTCGTGGTTAACGCTGTAATTATGCACGCTGGCCCGGCAGCACCAGGTAACTTTGCTTAGCTCCGGTCATCGCGTCTCGAAGTTTCAGGTCTGCTGAATAGACAATCGAGGCAAGGTGAGGTTCCGGGAACACAAACGCCTGCAGCACCGGACATTTCAAGACCCAAGAATGGCGCTTGTCAGCGGAATGAGGCGTACATAGGGGCCTTAATAATTAGAAGCGGGTTTCTCTCTATAGTTAGAATCTATGGACCCCAAAACAGTGTTCGTAATTATTTAGGCCCCTATATTCAGTCCTTCACTTCAAGGGAGCCTTGACCACTTCGCCAAGCTTCCCTAAGGAACAGTTTTCGAGTTAATAAGATATGCAAGTCTGAAACTGAAAGGCCATATATACATAGATTTACATATACGCTTACTTACTTTTTAAAGTATATATACAGAAGTAAAACGACGAAGGACCTCGTTCTTCGAACGGCGGCGCTCGCTTTGCGAAGCCCACCTGAAAATGTGTTCGATATCACTCCGTGGAGTTGCCAGAGGCACAGCTGGTGGGGCAATGTGCGAGATCCGCTCGTTGCCCGCAGCCACAACTCTGAGGACACACAGCAGACAAAGGCCGAAAGAGTTGTGGCATCCCGGAGCACCATTCGGCGTTGGTCATCACATCAGTCGGAAACTGCGACAGCGCCGCACATCCGTCTTGCAGCATCGCGTTGATTGTCTCCTGTGCAAAGGGCCAAAGAAGAGTTTGCGTCACATCTGCACCATAAAAGTGCGATACTGCTTCTGGATAGGTTCTCCAGAAAACCTGCCAGTCTGCATCCTTGGCTGCATCTTCGCACGAACCTCCACTCAAACTCGCCTGTGCAATCTGTAAGCATACCGGAGCACATCCTTGAGCTGCCACCTTGTACCAAGCACTGCTGTAAGGATCTGTGCATCCACATGTTTCGCCGCACACCATTCGCAACAAGCGGTTATCCACACCGTTGCACATCCCACGCATCTCCTCACAACTTCGCACATCATGGAGTCCGATGCTGGCTGCAGCATTCCTGGTTAGAGCGTCTGTCCACTCTCTTAGTGAAGAATCGTTGTGATATAGACCATCTGGGTTCAAGATCGAGGTCTCAAGGCAAAAGGGGCTCATGCCGCTCTCAAGCTCGATGCTCCGGGTATTATCCGTATTGAATGAATTCTTGTCTGTAGAAAACAAGAGGTAGGTTGGAGATTCTCCGGGGGTCGTCTCCGGCGAGGTGGCCTTGTGGGCTTGCACTCCCAACTCACTGAGTGTCAGATTTCTGCCGATTTCCAAGCCAGTCGGCGTGACCAGGCCATGCGTGAGCTGAGTGTCGGGATTGAAGCCAACCACGAAGGTTTGGTTGCCACCGCAGAGCTCGTTCTTCAGGTCGAGCATAGCATCGGTGAGGGGAGCCAGCTGGAAGAAGTACGTGCAAGAGACCAAAGCTACCAGAGAAACGAAATGAACGACGGATTCGCACTCACTCCGCCGCCGGCTGTATTTCACTTGCATGGGCTCCAAGTTCTGGATGGCGTGCTGAATTTTGATAGGCGTCATGCCCACAAAGAGAAATTCATCGACATCCAGAATTGCATTGAGCGCTACTGCATTCAACATGAGCTCCGAAATGGAAGTTGTCCTTGCCAGCCACAAGATGCCAGCCACCAGCAGGACGGAAGCAATGACGGTCCGGCAAGCATACGTCAACAAAAGCCTCGCACCAGGGATCAGGGACCAAGCAGTCGTGACATCGGCACAGAAGCAAAACAAGAGCCAAAGCAACACTACTCAAGCACTAAGCACCGCTCTGGGAGAGCTTTACCTAGCTGCTCAGACTGCAGCAGTCCCCTAACAAGCCCCGCTCCAAACAAAATCAAGAACGTCTGAACTCCCTGCCCAGGAGCAAACAAAAGCGACCCCACGACATGGTGTCGAAGGTGTTCTCGCCGAAGGAGGTTGCAAAGGCCTTTCAAAGTAGTCGGACGGTTTAGGCTTCGCTTGCTGCTTGGCACGCCCCTCGCAATCACGTCAGGCTCCGACGGTCTGAAACGAGCTACGTACTACAAAGCAGAAACGAAGTACAGGTGTCACTGAAACAAAACTTCCGTGGTCCACTCGATGGCTAAAGCAATGCTCGAAACAACGCATGCAGCAACGCAGGTCAGCATGAAGGCGTCGCGGTGAAAATTTCTTTGACAACAAAGCTGAGCCTCCCTCCCTGAAGCTCCAAAGCAACACTGTTCAGATCTGCGCAGCTTCTCAGCTCAGCTGTCTCTGTCAAGCCGCAAGTCTTGAAGGGGCTGGCTGCCAGAACTGTCCACCCCCTCAACTTTCCATTCAGGTCTGTATACTGAACATCAGCATGGCATGGCCAATACTAGCAGCGTGCGATTGCGAGAGTCGGCGGAATGAGGTACAGTGCTCCCCTGGAGTGACACATATCACATATATTGACATGTGCGACATCACATACAACATCGGCTTATAAGGGAACGATGAGGGTCAGGATGGGTTGGCGGTTGGCGGCTCAGGAGTGCAAGCATAAGAGGCCGGAGGCGTGACTGGTTCCACGGGCCTCTCTACACTAAGAGTAGGGTTCCGGGGTACGCCAGGAACGCTACAGTATAGGACTACAAATAACCAGGTTTGCGGCTTGGCTGTTAGAAAGAATACTACTGGTCGTTAGTTAGTCCAAGCTCTACGTTACCTGAAAAGTCCCAGGCGGTGGACGCCCAGCGCGCAAAAGGCTACGATTGCAACCGCTTGGATTTAGGGAATGTAGGGGTCATGATAATCAGAACTTGGATATACTGTACTAGAGATATATAGGGACTATGAGTGGATACTATTACAAGCTATTCCGACCCCTATACTAATAGGCGCTTCTGGAGTTTCGGTTTGGTTTCAGGTCGAAGACTGATCTGGGGAGGGATCTATCACGGGTCTGGTCACAGCCGCCACGAGCAAAAAACAACAAAAAAAAAGCATTTCGCTCTGTGCTGCTTTGGAGAATTCAGTCCAAGCCTTCGGAATTCCAGCGGCTGCTTCCAGCTGTACCCAAATCCGTCGAAACTCCTGCAGATCCGGGTTCCCTTCAACAACCCAAGCAATTCGACCCTCAGAGCAAAGGCCGAGATGTCTTTCATTTTTCTCTGGCGCTTACGACAGAAACAGCTGGAATTAGAAGCAGCAGACCCACCTATGTAGTTCCGCATGCAGCAATTGGTTCTCTGTTTGTTGGAGCTCAGAGCTCCCCAAGAATTGTGTGAGTCACATTGATGCGTCCACGAAACTTTCGGCTTCTGCAGAGAAGCTTCAATCTGCACTGCATACACACACACACAGCGGGATGGAACTCCAAAAAGTCCAGGTTAATCTTGACGGAAACACAAGCAACTCCACAAATCGAAGCAACTCGGTGTAACAAAAGCGCATGAGGAAACAAAAAAAGCTGCACAAGTCGGTTTCGCATCAACGAGTTGCATTAACCTGGCTGCAGAACATTACTCACTAGTGAGTGCCCAATGTTGTTGGGCCGACGCCCACGTAGAATTACAAGAATGACCTGGACGATCAAACTTGACGGGGATTGGAGTACCGGAAACGGTCAGTACGGAGGAAATCCCAGTGGCTTGTCTGTTGAATCTGCTGGGAGAATGTGAACAAACACCCAGACAACCCCTTCAAAAGGAAGAATACATCATTGAAACACAAAGGTCCAAGGTAGTACATGACAGCACTCGACTCTACCCAGTTTATGGAAAACGTAAACCGTATCCATAAACAAAACTTGGAGGACATTTTCAGTCATGGCTATGGCTACACCGTAGGCTGAGCGCTCCTTGTAGATGCACAACGTCCAAAGCACAATGCAGAGCATGCATAGAAGAATTCCCGGCCGGAAAGCCGGAAGAGTAAACTCATCCTTTTCCATGCCAAGGAAGCTGTTGACATGCTCGACCAGAGTGGCTTGCACGGTCGATAGAATCACAGACCCATCGCCGTTGCAAACTCGAGTTACCAAGCTAGTGCCAGCCAAATCCATGTACCTGGAGGCACCAGGGAACAGCTGCTAACACTAAGCACAAGGACACTACGATGGAGAGCTTGGTGAAATCTCAACATATTGCACACTTCAGACGGGCATTTTGCATCTACCCACCTTTCATCATGGGCCACGCTCGTTCGCCAGGATTGGGCGCTCTGGATCTTGCTCTCAAACTCGTCACCCATGAAAGCAGGGGTCAGCAGAATGATGGAAAACGCCGACTGCATCAAAAGGTTCAGAAGAACCAAGGCACTTGCGAACATCGTATCGAAAATACCAACGTCGATCAATCCAGCGAGGAGCGGAATACTCCAGGCGCTCTCCTCGAACGACACCTCAGTGAACTCCTGAACCCTCCTGGATGTCCTGAGGGGATGTGTGGCTTTTGTGAAACTGAGTCGTTGGAGTCATAGTCTAAACCTTGCACCGACGGGAAAACTGAGATGGAGCACCACCATAGATGTGCCACTGGACCACAAGTAACTAGTGTATAATATAACTCTGGATGGACAAACTTTGCACCACCCTTCATAAACATCTTTCAGTGGCTTCCGGCGCCCCATGTCTAACTTTGGTTGTGAAAGGCTAGGGTCCGGATCTGCTCCGATGGCCTAAATCTGACATCGCTCAAGTAGTCCAGGCTGAGTGCGGGGCTTGATGCCCCCATCCTTCGAAGTATGCATGCACGCGTTGTGCAAGATTTCGTCCATCCACCGACAGTGCTTTTGCATCTTCTGCACTCCTACCAGTGTCGTGTCGAATAGCTGGAATTTGACGGTGCGTGACCACCCTTGTCTCGGGCGGCTAGAAGCAGGACACACGACAAAGCAATTCACTCCATCTCGCGACGGAGAATCGGTGGAGACACTGGAGAACACCTACTGCTGCTACATGCCATGTGGCCACCGCCAGGCCGCAGTTCATCTTGCCCCAGAATTTAGAGGTGGAGTGGGTGAAAGAGTGGTCGAATTCAGTGGACCTGTCCCCTAGGCGGTGGGGAGGCGGGCGAGAGACTGGGTCGACTTGCGCCCGCAAGATCAAACCTTCAACACCACGGTCAACACTGCCAGAAGGCCGGACAAATCCCAGCACTTGATGTTCTGGACATCACTAAAAAGCAAGAAACCCATATATTTCCGGCAAAACGAGCAAAACCACGCAAATTAACAACAGTCAACACTCAGTCAACGCTGCCAAAATGCCGGGGAATCCAACATTTTGCTTCTCTGGACATTCAGAAGCCAAGCAAGTCTATAGCTTTTCTGTTCAATTGAGTGAACCGTGGAATCTGTTTGTTTTGCAGGGCTTTGGTAAATGTTGACGGTGGAGTTATATAACTGTAGTGTTGACTTGCGCTTTGCCTTTATTTAGGGCACCTTGGAAGTTTAAAACTGCATCCCAGAAAAACCAAACCCGTATCGATTGAGAAGCCATTGCGAATAACTCGCACTGGTACAACATACCCGGCAACACTCGCCCAAGCGGACGGGAGTATGACACAAAAGCAATCTTGGAAACCTTGTCCTTGCCAAGCCTTAAAACCCCGAAACCCCAGACCGACCCTTCAATCCACCTCTCAAGCCCTTCTCAACCCTGAGCTTTTTACCTGACAGTTTGAAGTGACACCTCGGTGAACTCCTGAACCCTCCTTTCTGGCTTCTGTGGAACAGAAAATCGGGAGCAATCACCGCGCGGAACAGAGAAATCGAGCACCACATAGACCCAAAAGAAAGCATTCGGAATCCTCGTCCGAGCCTCAAAACCGTCAACACCGAAACAACACGCCGACCCTTCAATCAACCTATCAAGCTAAGCCTGACAGATACAAGTGAGCTAGCGGCCAAAACATCCTCAAAGCCTAAGCCAAAGTCCTGTTGCTCCGACTCGATCTCCGGCCGCTTGCATCCTCTGTGTCGGCCTGGTTTGCATCATGCACCTTGAGGTAGTGGGGTTATGGAAGAATAATGGGACTTTTCAACTTTTGCGATCTCGTTTTTGCCCACATATGCAGTCTCTGCTTGTGTTTACAAGGCTGTCGCGACGATGGCATGTGATCACAGGTTGTAGTCGGTTTCCTGATTTTTTCAGTTTAGCCTTCCTTCTATGCACAGCTCAAGAGTTGAAGTCCGGGTTGATGGTTGACTGTCGTCGATGCTCCAGTGCAACTTCAAGAGCCGGGGATCCCAGCATCAGCAGGTTACGGCGAAGGAGTATTTGCAACACAAGCAGGGATGCTTGCCGTCTTTGAGCCAGACCCTAGTGCCACCTCCAGCGTCAGGGTCGCTGTGTCAAGAGGGAGACTGTAGTCGTGGACGACCTTCGTCTCATCAGCGGGAGCAGCCTGCCGGGGTCCCCAGGAGTAATTATGAGTACCAGCAGCAACAGGCGTCGTCCTCGCAGTACTAGTCGCAGTTGTCGTGATGGTCGTCAAGGCAGTTGTGGTATTGGTGGCACTACCTAGCAACAGCAGCGGTGGCAGCAGCCAGCAGCAGCAGCAGCAGCAGCAGGAGGAGGAGGAGGAGGAGTAGTAGTAGTAGTGGTGGTATTGGATTGGTAGTGGTGGTAGTAGTAGTAGTGGTGGTAGTAGTAGTAGTAGTAGGAGGTGCCTCCCCCCCCTACCAACCACCTCTGCTGCCAACCCTCTAAAGAGCACGTTCGTTTTACTCGGTATTTACGGTACGCTCGTCCTGTCATGCCACTTCTTCTTGCCTCAAAATCCACTCTGCGACTTTGATAAATTCGGCTTCGGATTTGGGGGGGGGGATGATGACGACATTGGTACACAGACACCCCGAACAATACCTCCACAAGAGCCGTGTTACTCGGCATTTACAGTACTTTCGTGATGGCAGACCCTCTTATGGTTGATGATGGTTGATGACAGTGATGATGATGATGATGATGCATGATGAAGGATGATGATGATCGATGATGGTGGTGGATGAGGCGCCAGGTAGTTGGTAGGAGGGGGAGTGGCTAGTAGCAGTAGCAGCAGCAGCAGCAGCAGCAGGAGTAGTAGCAGTTGTTGTTGTTCTTGTCGTTAGCAGCAGCCGCAGTAGCAGCAGCATGGCCTTAGTTATTGCCCAATTGCGCAGTATGCTCCGTATTGTTACGTGGGTGCACACTCTCATCAGTGTAGTTGTCCTTGCCATTGGCAGTGGTCGTCGTGGCCGATGCAAAGCCGGCACCGCCATGTCCAGTACCTACAGTCTATTAGATTTTGTCTGGTGTACACTTCTTCAGTTTCAAGACGCTGAAACGAAAGACGTTATGCTGTGGATGCTGCTGGAAATCGACAGGTACTCACTGGGGCCTCAAGAACTCGAAGATCCCAGACGCTGGCGAAGGGTACGGCAAGAAGACGAACAAGGACCCTGACTTGATTGGCTATGAGACTTCCAAGCCTTGCAGCCATAACCCTGAATTCTGATAGGCCCGAAGCACGTCCAAAAGCTCATTTCTGCAGGATGAAGATGTGGCGCAGAACTTCAAGTCCGGTCAGCTCTTCGGTGTCGCCGAATATATCAATGCACGTGGGGAGGCTGGGCCCCCCGTGGGTGACTTTCGGAGCTTCGGGGATTGGGGCCTCTGGGATTTGGGGAGCTTGAGCGCCTGGAGGAAAGGTGGTTTCATTTTTTAAAATATCAAGCGACTGCCCGGGTTTGGACGGACCCCGTGCATTGCCGTCGTCCAACTGCTGTGGTTATATGGTGACATAAAGAAGCAGAAGAGAGAGCGCGTGTGTTTGTGAGTGCGTAGCTCGTAAAGCAACAGGCATAGTGTAAGATCTCTGCATCAACAAAGGTTCTCGCCCACCGCCAGGGAGTTCGCAACGACTAGTACAGCAGTGAACTAGCGAGTTGCAGACCGCCTTGTGCATGGTCATAACTGCTTCCATAGGATGACTCATGGCCGTGCAGCACATCCTTGATAACTGTGTGTGACAAGCGCTGTGAGCGGTCGGAGTTTTCTTCAGTGCAACAGCGAGTGCTAAGCCTTGACAAACTGCGAGTGCAAATCAGGAAGACAGGAGGCCATCGGACATTTCTTTAAACATCGCGATACCCTAAACCTGCATATTTCAGCATAGCGAGATGCATGATGCTAGATTCCATGGTGTGCACGGGTTTCGATCTGCTCAGGACGTATATCACAGCACGAAGCGCGAGCCACTGGCCAAGGCGCATCCCGACATCATCTCTTATAATGTATCAAGATGTGAACACGTTATGCTTTCTAGTATTCTGCTGCCACAGCGGCCCCAGTACTCCGTAGTAGTAGTCGTCGTCACAGTCTTAGTAGGAGCAGCAGCAGCAGCAGCAGCAGCAGCAGCAGAATTGTTGCTTTGATACTTGTGGAGGTGGTGTCGGTATTTCCGCAGACGGCAGACGTGCTTGGAGTTCGACTGTAGTTCACTATGTCGGAGGCCTTCCAGCGAGGCCACGTCTTCCCGGATGAAGTCCATGATCCGGACTCGCTCGCTGCTGCGATATCCTGGGAATCACATGAAATAATTACTAGTGTTACATAAGGGTTCTATCAGTGTTTAATCATCATTCATTAATGATATTAACCAGCTGTTTGCCCAGTGCTACGTCGTGTGCTGCATCACGTTTCCAGAGAAGCTTTTGCTCCAGTTAGCATGCAGATACAAAAGGTAATGCAATGACATTGTACACGAACTATTGCTCTGCATGAGCATCGCAAGTCGTTCATCATTGAGCTGTGGTCTCCAAGACTCCCACTTCCGCTCAGCAGAGCTCAGGGAGTATAGTTTCCGATGCCCCAGACCCGTGTCATGTTGACGGCGACGGAAATGAATCCTCAAACTCCAAGCCCCAAAGGCCGAAGCCGTGAAATCCGGGTCCATAGTTCGCACCTGGCGAAAGCTGGGGAGGATCCAAGGCTAAACCCTGCCCCAAAGTTGGTTGACCGCAAATAGCCGATGTATGCTTCAAGCTTCGGGACCACTGGGTCATGGTTCGAGAATCATGACTTCGCCGTGCTCCCGAGGGCTCATGTCATGTAGGCTAGGCAGAGTGGACTGATGAGCTCTTGCTTGGGAACAAACCTTAAGATTGGTTGAGGGCCAGGCCGCTGAAGCCCATAAACCACACCCGAAAACCTTTAAGCCCCAAACGCAGGACCCCAAAACGCCTGCCTTTCACTTTCCTTTCGGTGATGAACCACACGCACTCAGTGCGACCCCTAAACCCCCATGCGAGAGCGGAACAAACCCCAAGTTTAGCGTTGAGGGTATAGGGTTCTCCTTTTCTTTCAGGACTTCAAAGGCTTCGGCCGCCCCCTGGACTCGACGCCTCCTGGCTGGGCATTGAATGTTGCAAGCAAGTATCTACCGGCTTTTTGCCCTTTTTGGCTTCTATAGATTGGGGCTTCGGGTCTTTAGGGTGGAGGGGGGTGGTGTTACGGCTTGAGGGTTCAAGTGAGGATCCCGGCCCGTGCGTGCAAAGGATCTGGGGTTGCTGGGTCGGGTGAGTAGGGTGCTATTCACACCGACCCACTGCCCGACCTGCACCTGGACATATCGGCCGGGCGACCGCCATCTAATGCATATCGATGGCCAACAAAACGAGATATGTCCTTCATCACTAAGCCCCTCGACCCTGCAGCTTGTGTGGCTGTGTGGCTGGCCGGCGGTATCGCTTGGATTATCAGCTCAAAACTGTCTGAGCCTAACACAGGCCAAGCAGGCACGACATCTAACAAAGGGCCACTCCCGACCAGGCCCGAGTGCTCTATTGTATAGGTTTTGCACCAAAGCACTGATCCAAACATCCTCGCTGCTGATTCTCAGGATGCCAGCAAAAGAAGTGATGTTTCCCCGCGATCGGCAACCGGTCGCTCAGCAGCCATTCTTTAAAATTCCGGATTCGTCTTGCGCTGGTTTCAAAACCTTCGACCCTAATGTAAAAAAGCGCCATCGGAATCCCTGCATCCATAGGCCCCAAACCATCCCGAAAGCGTTAAACCCTACGACTTGAGCAACTGGCCCCGGTCTGGTGCACGGTCTAGTCTAGTTCTGTTTCCTATCTGTGGCCGGAGAGGCTTCAGGGTGTTTGGAGTGCGTTGGAGGGCTCAGGGGGTCATGAGGCGGGGCCTTCAAATGCCATGCCTTCAACCCCCAGAGACAGATTCCCGGTGCAAATGCCGCCCGTCAATCCCACCTGGATCCTATACCTCCAAGACATATCCTAACTTCAACTCCGAAACCTCCTCCTAGAATCCGAACTCGGAACCTCAAGCTCGTCCCCGTTTCCTGCCAAAGAAACCTTCAAACCCCTCTGGACCCCAATCACCCGAGGTCCTGGAACCCCCAAGCCTGAAGTGAAGCACTTACGCGGATCATCCTGGCGCCACGCCGAGCCCTTATAAAACCCCTAGGTATAGCACTCATCGTAGCTTCCAAAAACGACTTCGCTGTAGCTGGTCCAAAGCCCCCGGAAGGACACACAGGAGGTGAAGGAACTTTACAAGCGAACACATGGCAGCACCGACCCTGGGGAAGGCTGGACAATTATCCGGCTTAGGGCTTGGAATGTTAGTATACATACATCTACATCTACATCTACATACAGATACACAGATACACAGATACACAGATACACAGATACACAGATACAGATACACATATACATATACATATACATATACATATACATATACATATACATACGTACATACATACATACATACATACATACATACATAGGGCTTCGGCTTTAGAGTTTCAGGTTTAGCTTTGTTTTGTCTGCGGGTTTAAGTCTTCGGGCTTGGGGTCTCGGGTTGAGGCCTGAAGGATTTGGATTAGCTTAAGTTACGCTTGTTGCAAGTTGTGCTTCCATGGCTTCGGAACAATAGTCTGTCCGAGCATCCTAAGGTTTAGGTTTGGAAGCTAAGCCCTGAACCCTACATAGTATCCTCATAGTAACCCTCAGAGATGCCTGAAAGTCAGCTTTAGAGGAACCCTGTACATTGCTTCGGAGCAGCCTCGGCGAGGTTTGGATCGGAAGTACGACTGGCCAGAACACGTGCCTCGGCGTACGAATCCTCATTTTGCACTCTGTTGCAGAAAGATGTCTTGCATTATCTTAGATTATAGTTTATGTTATTTTGTTAAATTTGTTTTGTGAGACCACACTGTATATCAAATGTATTTTACTCTGTAGGCAGACTTCGAACTCTTCTGGGTTAAGAGGGTTATGCGGCCAGGGGTTAGAGTTTATGTAGGGTCTCAGGGTTTAGGGGGCATGTAGGGTTAAGGAGTTGAGGGCTTCTGGTTTGGGTGTTTAATTTTCCTCCTGGCTTCAGACAAAGGCTGTGGCCTTGTCTCATCGAGCCTCTGAAGCATCTTTGGGCTCACGTAGTAACTGTTAAGCATAACTGTTTTTGGATGGTCCATTTGTGAGAAGCTACATGCAAAGAAGCCAAAAAAGACACGAGTCAGCTTGTTGGCTGAGTGGTACAAGCATGCGTCCGTAAGTCTCATTCCTTGTCCCAGATACCTAACAGTCCTAACATTCAGGTCTCTTCATACCCATAAATCGATTCATCCTTTGCATCCAACTCTGAAGCATGCCGAATCGCTAATCCCGACACCTTATCATCACTTGGATGCACCCTCATCCCTCGGAATCGTTCAACCAACAAGCTAAATCCAGGTCAAGGACCTTAAACCCTAAACCCTGAGGTCAAGGGCAATCCTATCTTCCGTTTTGGCCACGCCAACCAAACTGTGGCGCCGGGGCGGCCGCAAAGTCTGCACTGAGCATGGTAAGGGCCTCAGAGGTTTCAACAGGGTTTTTGTTAAGGGTACTCTTGCTTCCTGCCTGTTCTTATGAGGGGTCAGTACTATACATAAGTTATAAGGGTTCACTAAGGGTTTTCCGGTTGGATCACGGTTTTGGTTTTGGGGTTTTGGGGATTGAGGGCTCAGGAGATTCTTAGGGTTTGAAGTTTAAGGCTTGCAGGACCCCAGGAACTTGTAGGGGTATGGTCATAAGTGGGT